CCTCCCCACCCCCACTCCCCCTTGGTTTGTGATCAGTAATTTTCCAGCCGGGAAATGTTTTCGCCGTCATCTTCTCTGCAAACAGTGCCTTTTATCAAAAAAAAAAAAAAAAAAAAAAACGTGAGTGTGGTGTTCGGTATCGCTTTCTAAACGTAGGCTTGCGAGGTGTTTTGTTTGGATTCAGGCGCGCCTTGGGCTCAGACCGCCCTCTGCACCAAGCCCCCTGGTCTGTAAAGGCGGCCGGGTGTCAGCCCAGGAGAGAAAAGGGAGGAGATGCAGAAGGATCGAAGCCCCAGCCCTGGGCAGTGTGCGCTCACCCTCACTGAGATCCAGTTACCTCGTACTTTAAGTCACCTGTTTATTTGAGTCCTATGCTCCTGGTACCTATTAGGTTTCCTTAGGATATTTGTTATCCTTGATTTCCCTACTCCTTGCCAACCACAGAAGCATTCTTGGAATGCATCGCGCCCCGAATGAATGCACTCAGCCCTTTATGCCAAGGCCAGGAATCCCGGGTCGGTTCGGAGAGTTGGAAGCCCTTGCGGGTCCTCCAGCCGGGCTTTGGCCAATGGCTGCCAGGGCATGTAGCCGGAGGGGAGGGCAGGTTTTCGCGGGGAAACCACCGACCCTCCTCCCGCGGCCTGGAGGGTTTCAATCCCACCCCACAGGAGCCAGCCAGTTTAACTCTGAAAATATTGCCCTATTCAAAAGGAGGAACCAAGAAAGAACGATACCTGCAACCTCCTCCCCTGTTGCTTTCATTGTGATGACAAACATTTCTTGGGATACTGACTGGGGCTTGAAGATACATGGAAAAGTTAATCCACTTTACCATCAAAGCCAGGGTTCTTAAACTGCATTGAACTTGGATAACTCCTTGATTGGCAACCCTTACCCTCCTGATGTGTAAGTCAGGACTTAGCATTTTCTAGTTACGGAACCCGTGCGTGAGGAGCTTTCTGCTTTTCTCTTATTTATCTAAGTCAGTAGGCCTTTCCCTTCAACAAAAGTAAGCACCACGGTGAAAAAACAATATTACACAGATGATTAGGAAAGCCACTATTATTATGTCATATAATCAAGACAAGATTCTGAAACTCAATTTAAAAAGGCAAACTTTCCTAACAGCCTTCTGGAGGAGGAAAGCCAGTGCCTCTTTGTGGCAGGCAGCTTTCTGGTTATTCCTCTGATTGCATCATAAAGGGAACTCTCTAGAATTGCTCCAGCATTTCTAAAAGAGGTAAGGAACTTCAAGTTCACAAGTCATCTCCTTTCAAGGCAGGTGCCTGGTGTGACATCAGGGTTATGACCATGCCTCTTTTCAGAACAGGTAGGTCCAGAAGAGTTAAATCCCTGGCCTATATAATTTATAAACATGAGGCTGAGTAAACGTTTGATGACTAAATTGCACTCTGAAATAATAATGGAAGACACCCTTGAAAGAAGAATTAAATACTTACTGGTGACTTTATTTCAGCAAACTGATATTACAAGTTTTGTGGTATGGAAGTTAATTATTAATGTCCTTGGAGTTATAAAACAGATTTTTTTTTTTTCCTCGAGCACAAACTGCATTAGTTGGCAGAAGACGTGATGGAAACCACTAGTGCTAAGGGATTAATGTGGAGCCACGGAGGAGTGTGATAGACTGAAGAGGCTACATCAGTGTTACAAGGGAAGGACCTGGCACCCAGAGCTGGGCACTGGAATCTGGGCGTCTGACAGCACCCTAACTGGTGTGTAAATGCCACAGGATTCAGGAAAAGCTGCTTATTTCAGAAGGTGAAAGCAAGAGATGCTTTGAAGTATCCATCGCTACAGATAAATGACTGGGAAAGGGTCTTGCAACTTTCTCTGGGTGGCAAATCTTTTCCCAGCCTCTGAGCGACTCCTGTGCCCTGGTAAACTCCCAGCCTCTTTTTTACCTCCGTCTTGTGCAGAGGTTAAGAAAGTGAACTGTAACACGAGATTTCCTGGGTTTCTGTTCTGGTTCTGCTGCTTTCTAGCTGGACAAGTTCCTTGACCTCACTTTCCCTGTTTTTTTTTTTCTACAAAATGGGTATATTAATATTATCTACTGCTGAAAGTAATAAGGTTTATAAACAGGATCATCCAAGTAAGGTGTTTAGTGTAGGACTTAACACTCAATACAGGTATGTATTTCTACCACCAGGATTCTCCAGGGCACCTTTCAACTTCATGAGGACAG